CGGGGAAGTTTTAAAATTAGGATAAATGTTGTTTTCAATCACTTTGGAGCTGAAGCTTGTTTCTTGAGAAATTAAGCTTTTCTAAGACCCAGTTTTGTGTTTTGAAGTATGCTCATTTCACCATTCAATTCTGTGCTGATATGATATTCTTCTTCTAGGCATTATGCTCATGGCTCTGAAATTTCAGTTTGCAATGAATCGCTATATCAATCTGAAAGATTAGTTTTGTGTAGAAATTGAATGAAAGTAAATTGTACTGCATCTGTGTTGCATGTCTATACTAAGGCCATCTCCATTAATAAACTGTCTGATTACCATACTCAACTGATTTTAAACTCTTGAAAACTGTATATTTTTGTAAGTGAGAAAGCTTTGAAGTTTGTTGGTTGTATTAAAGGATAAATATGTATGTTTTGGTCAATTGGGTCTAGTGTTTGATGTATTTTTGGTGTGCAATTACTACATGGACCAAGGAAGACTTGTGTTCTATTGTCCATCGTCTGATTGATAATTGTGATATGATGTTGGGTTTTGTTTTGAGAAAGTTAAGTCAGACACAGGTTCTAACAATTCATTTGAATAATTAGGTGATCAAGTTGGGTAATTTAGTTTGGTGTGCTTCACTTGATTAATTTGGTGATCAAGTTGAGTTGGATTGAATTTGCAATGCATTTGGTTTAATTTGCTTGTCAGGTTTGATATCATAGAATTGTGTGGATTATGTAATCCCTGGGCTTAATTTGGTCATTCATTTGCATTGATTTAATTAGTCTTCAGTCTAATTTAGTCTTAACTCTTTCTGCACGGGGATATGAGGATGCTGACAGGTTTGGCTTGGTGAACCTTCTCTTTGAGGACTGAGAGGCTGTAGATGAGAGAGGTTGAGTGGTTCTATGGGCCTGTTGATGACTTTTGGATATGTATTTGTTTGTAATAGTCAAATTAGTTTTGGATTTATTTATTAGTTTATAATTTTTGTAATTATAAGTTTGTAATTTTTTCATAACGCATATTTAAGAACAGAAAAAAAATGATTTAATGTTTAAAATAATTATTTTTATAGTTTAGAAATATAGTCCTGTCTTGGATTGCACCAAACATAAGATAGTGCTAAATAACACTATTTTGCCCCTTAGTACCCCTTAGTCCAGCACTCCACCAAATATAGGACAGGACTAAGTCCAAGCCAAGCCAATCCAAGCCAGTCCTTGAATTTAGTCGTGTCCAGTCCAGTCCTGTGTACCAAACACCCCTTTAGTAGATAGGCCTAACAATGGGTTATTTTAAGATTGGGTTATTTGTCTTTTAAGCTAATTCTACCTTGTTTCAATCTTGTATTTGATTTCATAGAAACACCATGTTTGTGAATTTTACACTAGTTCATGTCATGTAATGCTGATTATACTTCTATTTTCTTATCTCTCATCTGGATCCAGTTTTGACCCTTTATTCTCCTTGAATGAGAATTTACCAAGAACTGGACAATCTTTCATTTGTTGGAAAATGGCAAAGAAAGGATGCTCAAAGTTGAATATTGCTATTATTCATCCTGATCTGGGTATAGGTAATTTCTATTTCTTCTTGTTATCATTGAAGATTGTAAAGAAGTTGTTTTGGCCTTATGTTGTTGTGATGTGTGATGTGCAGGAGGAGCTGAAAGACTAATTGTTGATGCAGCTGTGGAACTTGCATCCCATGGGCATAAAGTTCATGTTTTCACAGCGCACCATGACAAAAATAGATGTTTTGAGGAAACTATTTCTGGTGTGCCGTTTTTGTACTTCAAATTTATCTTTGAAATCATTGTATTTGTGAAAATGTGGTGGGGTTTGCTTAGGGTTGGAATGTCTACGGTACAATAAATCAAATAGGAGTGTGTTCGGCAACCACAAAAACTCATGCCCATATCCCACATCAAATTGTAATGCCATTTGAAAGTTGAAATCAGAGACTTATACATACACAAGAAGATAACATTTTGTATGCATCCTTTGGAGGAAGAAAAGAAGTCACAGTAGAATACTGAAAGATTTCCGGTTCAAGTAGTCTTGGTGTGTGTGTGTGTGTGTGTGTGTATTTCTAGGAGTACCATGGTTAGAAATACAACCTGCCTTGAGAACTTTATCGCATAATACTACTAAATAGGCAGATGGGTGTTAGACCTTAGAGTTGGAAGATGGCTTATGCTTTCTGCTTCCTTTTTGGGGAACCTGTTCTCAGTTTGGTGTTGATTAGCTGTCATTCTAAAGCAGTGCATAGTTTGATGTTTTAATGTCATTGGTTTGCCAGGTACCTTCCCTGTGACTGTATATGGTGCTTTCCTACCCCGACATATATTCTATCATCTTCATGCTTTGTGTGCATATCTGCGGTGCCTTTTTGTTGCTGTGTGTGTGCTGGTCATGTGGCCATCATTTGATGCGATACTAGCAGATCAGGTTTCTGTTGTCATCCCATTGCTGAAGCTAAAGAAGTCAACAAAGGTGCTTGCACGTATCTTGTACGAATTGTTATGTAGCATTGTTTGCTATTATAGTTGTTTTATGTGTTACATCTTTGTGTACAGGTTCTTTTTTATTGCCATTTTCCAGATTTATTACTGGCTCAACATACAACTATTCTAAGGAGGATATATAGAAAACCGATAGACTTCATAGAAGAAATGACAACTGGTCTGATTCCATTTCTTGGTTTTATCGTTTTTATGTGATGTGTGGACTGCATCTCTCTAGTGTTCTTTTGTTGTGTGTATACAGCTATTCCTTACCACTTTATTTTTTTAAATGATACTGCTGCAGGAATTGCAGATAAGATTCTTGTTAATAGCAAATTTACAGCATCTATGTTTGCAAAGACCTTCAAGTGTCTTGATGCGCGAGGAGTTCAGCCAGCTGTTCTTTACCCAGCTGTCAATGTGAATCAGTTTGATGAACCCACCGATTCTTATAAGTAATGAACATGTTTGTGTATCTGTTGGCACCTTACGGTTTTAGGCATGCTTTTATGATTCCATATCTAACCATTTGTTAGATGACTTTTCTTTGAATTTTATCTGGTAATTTACAGTTTTTGTTATTTGTTTATTTCCTTGTTGTAGGTTGAATTTTCTGTCCATCAACCGTTTTGAGAAGAAAAAGAATATAGACTTGGCAATTTTGGCCTTTTCTATGCTTCGCACCCTAGGAGGAGATGTGCTTCAAGGCCTCAATCTGGCTGAAGCTTCCTTAACAATTGCAGGCAAGTTCCTACTTATTTATCTGCCTGGGTAGTCTTATTGATGGATGTTTTATGCTAATTAGTAAGTACACCCTTTGAAAAAAAAGGACTTTAAATTACTATACAAGCTACCGGGTTAGATATGCTTGGTCCTTGTTTTCGGTAATTCTTGATGATATTTGTTTGGGCCTTATACCAAAGGATCCAATGCCTACTCAAATGCCTACCGGTTGACATTGATACATTAATCCAACATCATTGCATACTTTGATTGATAGAATTGCATGACTTGTGCACATACAGGTGAAAAAATTGATACACGTCTTTTGTTTTAGGTGGTTTTGATAAGCGCTTGAAGGAAAATGTTGAGTACTTGGAGGAGCTCAGAAGTTTAGCGGAAAGGGAAGGAGTGTCTAGTCAGGTTAACTTCATCACATCTTGCTCAACAGCTGAAAGAAATGCACTTCTCTCCCAATGCCTATGTGTTCTTTATACGCCAAAGGTGCTAATTACTTTATTTGGTTCCATTGATTGGATATAGTGAAGAAATGAATTTGACATGCAGTATTCAATAATGCAGGATGAACACTTTGGCATTGTTCCTCTGGAAGCGATGGCAGCTCACAAACCTGTTATTGCGTGCAACAGTGGGGGCCCTGTAGAAACAGTTAAGAATGGTGTAACAGGATTTCTTTGTGAGGGTAACCCAAGAGAATTCTCCTTGGCTATGGCTAAACTCATTCAAGACCCACAGATGGCACAGAGAATGGGTACAGAAGCTCGAAAGCATGTCACGGAGTCATTCTCTACAAAAATATTTGGTCAGAATTTGAATCAATACCTTGTTGATATTGCTCGGACAAAGAGAGACTGAGAATAAATTAACATAGCGCATGATACACAGACAGTCTCCTTAATATGAATCTCTGCTTTAAAGCAACTGCTGCAAGCTTCAGATATTACATAATGATAATGGCAATTAACTAACTATACTTGTCCTGCATTGGAGTTTATGCTTGTCCTGCATTAACTAACTATGCTTGTCCTGCGGCGGGCCACATTGACTTACAATCTTTTTGTTTGGTGGAATTTGACAAACTTTAGGTCTTGGAGAATTAACATAGGTGAAACACTGAAACCCTAGCCATGTGAATCCAAATAATTTTGTTTTGAGTACAAGCGATAGGGGGAGGGTGAGTTTACACAAAATATTTATTGGGTGCTATGGGATTTCAAACCTCTGCCCACATGGTGGAGGTGAAAGAACTCAACTAACTGAGTTATACCCCACTAAGAACTCAACTAACTGAGTTATATCCCACTAACTCAAATAACTTTGTTAATATATAGCCTAAAGGCAACCCATACCCTTGAGAAACTATATTGCAAGTTAGGCTTACCCATTTTATCCGCTACTCAGCAATATGGAAGAGGTATCCAAAACATAGAAATTCAATTCAGCTGGGATAATTTTGTACCCGTATCTCAAGTTCTGAACAAAATCAGACTTACACATGTCAAGTTCCTGATCAGTAGGATTTCAAATTCCAAACCATTTGGCAGTTGTTTGGACTTGGACCCCCCAAAAATGGGAAAATGGGAATGTTTTCAATTAAAGGGAAAGAGGGAAACATTATTAGAAAGAAGTGAGATGCAAAATGAGAGAGCTAAAAACTAACAGAAGAACACATGAAACTAAAATATGAAAGGAAAAGAAAGAGCAACAAAACCAAACCAACCAATAGAACAATATGGAATTGTGAAATGAATACGTAAAGCTCATTTTTGTCAGGAGAGTTTCACCTAAAACCTCAGGGAGACATCCATAAAATTTGTCAGGCATCTAAATCCATCCATTTTGTAATTCATATCCCTTATATGAACTCTGCCAATGCATAGTGGTAAGATGAAGAAGCTCTGTGTCCTCGTGCAGGTTAAATACAACTGCTATCGTTCCTCCGTAGGAAAATTGGCCACATTAAGGCATTTTATCAAACACATTGCCCCTAAAGCAAAACTAATGGAAGTGCTGGTGGTTGTGGTGGCACTGATTGTGATTGTGATTGTAATTGTAGTGGCTGAGATTGCTGTGGAACCGACGAGGTGATGGTAGCGGTAATGGCAGCGACAATGGCACCATTATGAGACGACTTGGATCATAATGATCAAACCCTCCAAACGGTGGACAGGGATAATAAGGTGGCACTGCATAAGGGTTATATCCATGTCCATGTCCATGTCCATATCCATATCCATATCCACCTTGTCCAAAATAGTCGTAGTTGTCCCTGACCTCACCATCAAACGTAAGACTTTTTAGCTCTGCAACTTTCACTGTTCCTTTCTCTGCATCTGTGTCAATTTTATAGAAACCTAAGTTTCAAAAAAAGAAGTAAATAAATAACAATCCTTAATAAAAATAAAAGAAATGCAGTAGCAAAACTATTATTTTCTAGAAAGGAAAAAAATAGAGGCGAAAAACGAAAAATACCATAGATATTCTGCAAGACATCATAGATCTTTGTCCTGCATGCTTCACATTTGATATTCACTTTCAGAACACAAGTCTGCAAAAAAATTATATATATCAAATTGCAAGAATAAAGTTTATAAAGACCAATATGATTAAAAATAAACCAAGAAACCGTTTGTGCAATGGAAGGATCCATCAGGGAAAATTCTGATTAAATTTCTGCAATGCGTTCTTGCAGCTTTGCTTGAAGGGTTCTTGTATATTTTTGTAGTTGTATTTTGGCTGTCACATTCTCAATTAATTCCTAAAATCTCTCTTCTCGATATTCCTTGTAATTTTGATTGGGACGAAATAATTATGTCCAGTTGTGAAATTACTGTTTACATTAATTTTACTTTTCGACTTTTACTTCTTAATTCTGATTCAGAGATATAAGTGTGAATATAGGATAGGACGGTTGTCTTTAAACATTCGTCACAATTATGCAGGATCAACGTTCAACATGACAATGAGTCTCTGGATGTCTCCCCATTTTTGCGCCATACCGAGTAAGAGAAAGAGGGGAAAACAAAGGAAAAACAGAGACTTCGGATGCGATTAACCGACATTTAATCAAATTTTGTCCCCTAAACAATGGTTTTGCAATGAAAATGTTAATTATGCTTTTGCAGAAATCCTATAATTTTTTTCTCCTTCAAGCTAACAAGCACAGATGTAGAAGATGTTAGATGTATACTCCACCTTGAATTTTAGATGGTATGTACACGGCCGACAAGAAGTTAAGTTCATGCACAGACAATGCTTCGAACTCAAATTTCACTCCTCTTTCCAGCATCAATTGTAGTTCCAATCTAAAAGAGAAAACTGCTTCATGTTACTTATTCCAGTCATATGATGGATGAATAAGAAAGCTAACAGAGTCTTACCTCCACTCTAGCTCTTCTCTTTGTAAGTAGCATCTACGTAACATGGCTTCCGTTTTCCTCTTGTCTGGCATGTTTACAAGGAACCTTATTTAAAGTTACCAAAAGAAATAGTAATGCCAATGTAAAGCACCATATCTCTCACCTTCTGCTGTCAAGGGAATGAGACACTGTTGTGGAAGACGGTACTTCTCTGAGTCCAAAACGAAGGCTCCAAGCCAGAGTATCTCAGGGACCCGTAGTAATTTTGCATCATAGGCCATTTGCTTACATCACAAGAGAGTGAGCAGTCTTCCTTCCTAGTTAGTTCAAGTGTTAGTTAAGTTAGTAAACTATACATAACAAGTTTATAGATTGATCAAGAAGCCTAACCATAGAACCAAACCGATACGTGTACAGGATGTCAAAACCGCACGGATCAGAGTCTACCAAGCAATAGGTAGGGAGACGCAAAGTATCAACAAGAAGCCCCAAAAATCTGGTCTGCATTGCAAATTAAGCAGAGAATGTTACTAATTACTTGGAGAGACCATGGACATAATGCATCAAGAGTTTCCAATTAGAAAAGATCACATCTAAACAAATACACTATGTTCCCCATATTATCTTATCACAAATCTTAGGCTCAATTTATATGCCCATGATAATTTGGAAAATACAATGCATTACCAAGGTTTAATTAATGTACAAAGAAGAATACCATTTATCATAATCCAAGTTCAAGTCTCATAATGAACTATATCTTACAGCCCGTATACTAAGAATTATTCTTTGACATTGGAAATGAAAAATAACTCAGATTCACCTGAAAACACAGAAGGGTGCATGTAATAGATATCTCTCTTAGACCCATGTCTGTTTTCTTGCAGAAGTTGCTGAACAATTACTAGAACCCTAAGCAAAACATCTGAAATAGATTCGGGGAACCAGGTAATCAGTAACTGGTACCTTACCATAAATCTCTTGTACATGTATGATAGAGTTCAATTGTCTGTTAATGTCGGTATGAGGTTGATAGTCTGACAACATAACATCCACAAATCTCTGGTTTTCTATGCCTTTATTGTTAATAAAAAATGGAAGATGGACACTCATTTCAGTTCATTTTCATAAAGTAATCTGTTTATTATAAAAATTGAAAAGGGCCTCTGATTTTTCTTGGCAAATCGCAGGGCCGTGGCTGTGAGTTCCATCGTGAGTGCTTTCCCTCCATAATTCGTGCATTAATGGAGATTTTTTTAAAAATAATTTCTGGGTATTTATAAGATTGCTTGTGGGCCGGGTAAGTTTAGCTCGCTTTATAAGGAATAGAACTTTGTGTTTGTCAAACTTGGGTCTTACAATGACTAAGGTACAGACCAGAAAAAAAAAAAGACTAAGTTTCATTGCAGAGCATCATGATCTTCCAATATACTTCATCAATAAAACTATTTGTAACATAGAGAGAAGTAACATGAGTTACTCCCTGCAAATGTCTCCTTTATGAGATGAAATACATTGTCCATCAGCAGTCTGTTTGAACAACTAGTATTACAAAAGGAAATCACAGATAAATCAGCTATCATTCAGTATGCACACATAACCCTTTTGAACTCCGGTATTATTGAGAAGCCTCGTGTTTGTTAAGTGTCAGCTCCTCCTGGAGTCGATATGGAAGATACACAAGGGAACCAATATTGGCGAATACCATCTTTGTGGCCATCATCAATCATTGCAAGACCCTCCTGAGAAAAGCAAGGGTTTCTTGAGCCCCAGCAATCGTAGTATGTATATATAATAGACTGAAGGGAAGAGAGGATAGTATGAGTAGTTTAGTAAATGTCATCAACTTACATCTAGTAAAGTGTCGAATGCATCAATTGCACGGCCAGTGGTCCAAGATAACCGTCTCTCTACCTCATCAACAATCAAGCTTTCGCTTTCCAACAGAAATCACCTCAAAATCATTACCCAATACCTGGAATCAAGCAACAGTTGTTAGTATAATGCATCACTTAGTCAACAATCATAATAGTATGGTACTAACTACTGCAGAGATATAATATGAACTGCTTAAGACAAACTTTATGAAATGTTTAAGAGTCGAAAGCATCATAATAAATCATAAAATACAGAGTTTCAATCATGAGATCAAAAGGGACTACTACTACAACTACTCATATACAATGATAACGAAACCTAATCGGCCTTCCAGATATCACCAGGCTAACAACCTAAAAGAACTAGCCAGTGTTCTGTCACATTGCAAAAATGTGGCAAGAATTCAAGCCCCTTAGGCCTAGTCAACTGAAATTCAGGATGTGAACCTCTTCTACTGAGACCATAGGATCACAAGATTTATTTGTATTCTTTGGGGGCTGGGGGCCAATAACTTGTCTAAGGCCTTCCTAATTGAAGTACCTTATATTCACATCAATTTCTGACCGACACTTGTACAAGTAATGCATGGACAAGCAAACCATATTTACCTTCAACTTACTTATAGCACGCAGGCAATCATCCTCAGAAACAGCTTCACGATCACTCTTTCGCCTCTGACGAAGCATATTGCAGAGTTCCTTCAGTTTTATCAAACCTCCATTGTGGGGTCTTGTTGCCAAGCAAATGTCAACAATTTGCACCCCTGTCTAACCAATGAGCTCCATTTTAGAATATGTAATATATACACTCCCATATAAAATGCAGACTTTAGTTGCATCAATATATATTGGACAACAATCCTACAAAATATTGGGCACTGAATTTGCAACTTAACAGAGGCCTGGAACATATTTATCTAAATAATCTTAGCAACAACAATATTAACAGCCAATCTTGCAGATATGCATAGAGATTAAGAAGAAGGTACCAACCAAGTTCAAAATAGAAGTCACCAATCCCCAAGAGCTCTGCCCAGAAACCCTTATTGGAGGCCAAGGGATCTACCCCAACTTTATTGCACATGTTATGAAATTGTGATCTGAAAGCAGGGTTCTTGCGAATATCATTCTGTACAATACACGTCCACAAACAACACAAATTGATACCAACAAAGAAAAATTTCACATTATTAACCATCTGAAAATGATTGAAAACAAAATGGGACCTTGTGTTTTCGAGCGAAATCTTCCAACTGGGTTCGAAAAGTGGTAAGTTGTTCCTTCATGAGATCGGTTCTAATCTTGGCGACGTTCTCGCCTAACAACCGATATTGGTCCAGCAAAACCAGCATGGCTTGATTAATTGAATTTCAGTAATTAATGGCATTAATCAATGATGGAGAAGAATTTGTGTATGCCCAACCCTTCAATGATGGTCATAGGGCATCTATGGCTAAGCAGTCCTATTTTGCAATCTGAAGAAGGAGCAACAATTTGTGTATGTCGCAGACAAGTAAAGACTTTCGCGGTCATGGAAATGCTAAATTTCATTGCTAGCAATTGTCATTGGGCAAGTTGATTTCACACATTGTATCAATCCAGTATTCCAAAATGAACAACGATCACTAAAATGCTTAAGAGGCAGTCTAACCATTTTAACCAACGTGTAGGGAAGAGATATATTGGGAGTGTTTCTGATATGGCCTCATGTATTCCAAACACAAAACCGTAGTCATTCCTTCCCTGGGAGATAACAAGGAGTCTACAAAACCTTCTCATTCAACCATGACAGAAGGAACCAAGTGATCCTTGTATCGCAGCCCTTGAGTGAAGACAACTACAGCACAAGGAATTACTCACAGCTTTATACAAGTAAAAAACTAGATCCTATATTGTGCTAATTGTCTTTACAATACAGGAAAGAGAAACATTAATTAGTTGACTATCTACAACAACACACTAATTATCGGAGATCATCAGAATCAACTCAATTGATCTTGTCTTCTTTAAATCTTAACCAAAAGTTGACTGGCCTAGCTGCTCAAAGTATATGTCTTCATGCAGTAAAGCTATGCTTTTAAATATGTGCTTCAGTTTCTCGTGCTGAGCCATCTCTTCCAAGATTTTATCCTCTGAAACTGTGGCTCGGATTTCCTTCTCAAGAGCCTTCTTGTCTGAATCAGAAAACACCAACTCAGATAAACGACTCTTGTCAACTTGGCGACTGTATTTATCCTCTTCGTTAGTTCCATCCATGAGGAGATGGTAGACAAATACAACCTTCTTCTGTCCCAGCCTGTAGGCACGGGATATTGCTTGCCTCTCCACAGATGGATTCCATGCGACATCAAGCAATACAACTCTGGAAGCTCCAACAAGGCTTATGCCTTCGGAACATGCTTTAGTTGAAGCTAGTAATACCTTGGCATTGCTAGATGGATCATTGAAAACCTTCATCGAGGATTGACGCTGCTTCATATCACATTTCCCATCCATATACAGCACCTCTTCCCCTTCAGTCCACTGAAATAGAGATTTCAGAATATCCCTTAGAAGGATTAACGGATCAAGGAATTGACTGAAAACAAGAATTCTTTCCTTCATAGCATCGCTGAGCCGAATGAGTTCCGTCACAAATTTTGCCTTGACTCCAGCATCGGGATTTAATTTAAGCTCCTCTAACCTACCCCGGTCAGCAGAAAATGCATCTTCCTTATCCTTAAGCAAGAGGGAAGGATGAATACATATTAAAGCCTCTAGGTTTTCATATCGAAACGATTCCTTCACCCCTTGAATTCTCTTATGAAAACTCACCTGTAGCGGGGTTGGGTGTAAAACAACAACTGAGTTCCTTAACCCGGGAAGACTATCTTGCAGCACAGAACCTTTATAGACGTGAACAAATGGCGCAATCTGAGCTTTGACCTCTGTAGCATGTTTTTCTTTGTCATCAGCAACTTTTCCACTACTACTGGCCACAAAAGTCCATTTCCATTTTTCCCCATTGCTTTTCCTGCCTCGTTTTCTGGGAAGATCCCTACTGAATTTAGTAGAATCAATCGAGGCTGCAAAAGTGGGCCTCACAAGGCAGATTGTATTGAATAGCTCCTGAAAGTTATTCTGAAACGGAGTTCCAGAGAGCAGAATACGCCTTTTTGTTTTGATTTCTGACAAAGCCTTCCACATATGACTTTGATCATTCCGAGGAGTGTGTCCTTCATCAAACACTACGAGACCAGGAAACTCAAGAAGGATTTTCCCCATTTTGTCAGCTGAGCCAGTTTTTTGTGCTCCAGAAAGCTGCTCAAACAGCCGGTAAGTAATCCCCAGGATGCTTCTGTTCTTTTTCCAGGAATACAACTTCAGCATTCGCCTGTTCTCTTTGTTAACACTTTTCCTGCCTTGAGCTTGCATCACCAAATTTACAGCTGTTTGATTTTCTTCGCCAGATAACTCCAAGTTGTTAAGATTGTGAAACGGAATGTCAAACTTCCATTTTTTAAACTCCTCTTCCCACGTAAGGAGCATGCTACGAGGAGCAATCAGAAGCGGCCTGCAATCTGGGAATAACTCCATGTATGTCTGGAGAAAGACAATGGTCAGGCGAGTTTTTCCTGTTCCAGGAGCATGTGATATGATGCATCCATTCCCACCAACACTACTTGGCTTTTTCAACTTGTCAAGATGAATACCACCCGCTATATGGTTCCAGATAAACTCAAAACCTTCACGCTGATGGGGATACATACTACTTTTAACACCAGGAATTAAGTCCCACACTGTGCCTTCAACATGAGGATGAGAATTACAGCCAGAATGGCGATCAGAATCAGAAACATGAGATTGAAGCTCATCAAAGATAGACCGGTTGTCTGTTTCAGAGCCTCTTGTGCCAAATCTTCCATAGGGGAAGTCAATCTGGAATGAACATACACAAGGGAAAATTCACATATCTGATATGCTAAAGCATGACAATTAAGTTGATAAGCGCGGA